CTGGGCCGCGAGGGCAGCAACCTCCGGAAGCGACTCCAGATAGCTGCTATACAGTTTATATTAGTGTCATTTGTAACAATTCGATATTGTCAAATTGACTGCATTAATGAGTGTTACCACAAAAATACAATTATTACACCTGACAATAATTTAACCAAGACTAACTAAACATAACCGAAGAGTTGTAATCAAATGATGCAATACCGACGAGTGCAAAGTTTCTTCGTGTTAAGGAGGCAGTAGACGGCTAGCCAGAAATTAGATCACTAACATCACATGTCATGAAAGTCTTCTAAAGGGTGAGGGGACGCCAAATATCAGTTTTATGGAACTGCATAATCCAAACTAGCTAGGATTTACTGAAGGAAGATCATACTTGTCACAGCTATTAAGCCAGTATGATAGAATAATGAACTCAGATGTGGCATTCACGGGTTTCATCAAGACATTTGACAAATGTGATCGTGGAGTGACTGCACATAAAATGAGGGAGATCGATATAACATGTAAAGTAAACAAATTGAGATCCAGTCGTTCAGAATAGAGTTATGTATTAGCAATATAAAAAATCAGTAACCGGAGGCACGGTCCTGACGCCTTATACACACAGTACACCCACAAAAACATTCGCCACATTTTTGTATTATTATTTGGAGATGATGCCAAATTAAGCATGAAAATAGCCTAGGAAGTAGACCGGGAGAAACTGTGAGAAGATATAAGCAGTCTTCAGCGGGAAGAGGAGAATAACGCGACGTTCAGTGTTGAAAAGCTCCATTTGCTTTGATATTGAGAAAATGAAGAACTTAAATAGGGCACTGCATAAAACACAAGGTCACCAAAAAGAAAGGAACACGTTAAGGACCTGAGTTTAATGTCAGGTAATCTTTCTTTCAATGAACACATAAGCAAATGTCACGACAGCAAGGAAAATGACAGGGTTGATAATGTGAACTTCTAAAACAAGGGAAATAGCGTCACTGGACTATTCAGATCGCTTGTGCTCTCTCGCTTAGAGCATTGTTAAGTGTTGACAGCTCTGTTCAGGGCAAGAGAGATAACAGAGCTCGAACACATACAGAGATAATTTATAGCATTCATATAGCCAATAAAGCATTTAAATTAACGGGAAAGAATCAGTTCTAATAATGGTCTCGTTAGGGTGGAAAGAGATACACTGATATACATATGTAGAGGGTTCTAGAGGACCTGGACCAAATCTACACACTGCCATAACATACTGGAGTGAAAGACATAGGAGAAACTGTAAAATAGGGTGAAAAGCAGGGGCACCGTGGGCACAATAAGAGAACACTTTATCAACATCCGTGGGTTCAGAAGACATCAGAAACATTGCCAAAGCAAGTGTAGATGATTTCAAGAGGAAACTGGAAAAGGACATCCGTTAATTGCCAGATCAACCAGGCCGTAATGGATATGTGGGCCTGTTGTCCGCTAGCAGCAACAGCCTGGTTGACTAAGCATCAGACAACCAGCTCCAGGGCAGGGCTGCAGGATTAGGAACCTCTTGAAATCCATCAGAGGTATATCAAAACTAAGTTTTATGACAAGATTACTCTGTGAAAAGCTTTGATAAAGCTTTAAACTGAACAAAACATTGTCCCAATTAAAGTTTGATCTGCAATGCATGTTTTCCTCACACAACCAGCCAGTATGTACAAATATGAGGCACATTACATACACACACAACCCGCACGTAGAAGCTTAGGACAATATTTCGGTCTATCTTGGACTATTTACAAGTCACACTGTGACTTGTAAACAGTCCAAGACGGGCTGAAACGTCGTCACAAGCTTCTCTCTCCTACGTGCGGGTTATTTGTATACTGTTCCAATCACGGTATTGTGCCTTTCTGTTCTTCGCGAAGCCCAGGTCTTGGCCCGGCAGCAGAGTACAAGAAAAGCCTTCGTGAAGCACACTAACGCCAGCTGAAAGATACTGTATCATGAAAGAAAGTTGTCTTAGACATGGTGGCAAAACTACAGCCAATACAACACAACAGTTTGTGTCCTTTTACTTTACATATTGTCGGTAATTCTACCAACTTTATTACAACATAACAGTTGGTTAAGAAGATACAGCAACAACAGCAGCAGTAGACACAACAGCAGTGGCAACAGAAGCAGTAGATACAGCAAGTGGCAACAACAGACAACAGTGGCAGCACCGGACACAGCAACAGTAGCAGCAGAAGACACAGCAACAGTGGTAGCAGCAGACACAGCAACATTGGCAGCAGCAGACACAGCAAGTGGCAGCAGCAGATACAGCAACAGGAGCAGCAGAAGACACAACAGTAGCAGCAGTAGACACAGCAACAGGAGCAGCAGTAGACAGCAACAGTGGCAGCAGCAGACAGCAACAGTGGTAACAGCAGACACAGCAACATTGGCAGCAGCAGACACAGCAATATTGGCAGCAGCAGACACAGCAACAGGAGCAGCAGCAGACACAGCAACAGGAGCAGCAGAAGACACAGCAACAGGAGTAGCAGCAGCAGCTGACAGCAACAGTAGCAGCAACACAGCAGCAGCAGCAGACAGCAACAGTAGCTGATCCATCTGTTAACGAAAGTCAACTTTACATTCAGTGTGTAGAGTTACGTTCACCACTTGAGCAACGTTACGTTCACAGCTTGATCAACGTTACGTTCACAACTTGATCAATGTTACGTTCACAGCTTGATCAACGTTACGTTCACAGCTTGATCAACGTTATGTTCACAACTTGATCAATGTTACGTTCACAGCTTGATCAACGTTATGTTCACAACTTGATCAATGTTACGTTCACAGCTTGATCAACGTTACGTTCACAGTGTGATTAACGTTACGTTCACAGTTTGATCAACGTTACGTTCAGTGATCAACGTTCCGTTCACAGCTTGATCAACGCTACGTTCACAACTTGATCAATGTTACGTTCACAACTTGATCAACGTTACGTTCACAATGTGATCAACGTTACGTTCACAGCGTGATCAACGTTACGTTCTGTGGCATGCAAAGAGTACGTAACCTTTATTCGGCGCATGTACACACCCTCATTTACAGGCCATCTCCCCCAACCAGCGAACCAGGTGACTGAGGGTTGACGATGGGGCCCCGTCGTTCAACCAGTACCCAGGTTCCAGCCAATAAGAAGATGGTTTTGGCAATCGCAGAGGTTATGTGGGTACCACCCTCCTGTCTGCCCTTGTCATTCCCATTCTAGAGCTGGTTGAAGCACGGTCTGCTCTCTAGTGGCTTCTATTCTGCCTTGCTTACCGTGGAGTGCACTAATACCTATCACTGTACATAGTGTATATAGTGTACATACTTATATTATCCTTCAACAATTTAGAACATAAGTCAAAAGTTTTCTGCTGTGTTTATTTTGCTCCCTTTACACCCAGGATAACAGGCCATTTGGACTCCTGGGTTGTAATACGTTCACAGCGTGATCAACGTTACGTTCACAGCGTGATCAACGTTACGTTCACAGCGTGATCAACGTTACGTTTACAGCGTGATCAACGTTCGTTACAGCTTGATCAACGTTACGTTCACAGCGTGATCAACGTTACGTTCACAGCGTGATCAACGTTACGTTCACAGCGTGATCAACGTTACGTTCACAGCGTGATCAACGTTACGTTTACAGCGTGATCAACGTTACGTTCACAGCGTGATCAACGTTACGTTTACAGCGTGATCAACGTTACGTTTACAGCTTGATCAACGTTACGTTCACAGCGTGATCAACGTTACGTATTTACAGCGTGATCAACGTTTACGTTTACAGCTTGAATCACGTTACGTTTACAGCGTGATCAACGTTACGTTTACAGCTTGATCAACGTTACGTTCACAGCGTGATCAACGTTACGTTTACAGCTTGATCAAAATTACGTTCACCCCTCAATGAAGGTTCCTTGATGTTGGTGAGGGGCTCTTGATTTAGGGAATTGGATCTGTGCTCCAGTTCCCCGAATTAAGCCTGAATGTCTTCCACATCCCCCCCCAGGCGCTGTATAATCCTCCGGGTTTAGCGCTTCCCCCTTGATTATAATAATAATAACGTTACGTTCACAGCGTGATCAACGTTACGTTCACAGCGTGATCAACGTTACGTTCAGTGTGATCAACGTTACGTTCAGTGTGATCAATGTTACGTTCAGTGTGATCAACGTTACGTTCAGTGTGATCAAAGTTACGTTCAGTGTGATCAACGTTACTTTCACAGCTTGAGCAACGTTACGTTCACAACTTGATCAACGTTACGTTCACAGCTTGATCAACGTTACGTTTACAGCGTGATCAACGTTACGTTCACAGCTTGATCAACGTTACGTTTACAGCGTGATCAACGTTACGTTCACAGCTTGATCAACGTTACGTTCACAGCTTGAGCAACGTTACGTTTACAGCGTGATCAACGTTACGTTCACAACTTGATCAACGTTACGTTTACAGCGTGATCAACGTTACGTTCACAGTGTGATCAACGTTACGTTCAGTGTGATCAACGTTACGTTCACAGTGTGATCAACGTTACGTTCACAACTTGATCAACGTTACGTTCACAGTGTGATCAACGTTACGTTCACAACTTGATCAACGTTACGTTCACAGTGTGATCAACGTTACGTTCACGACTTGATCAACATTACGTTCACAGCTTGATCAACGTTACGTTTACAGCGTGATCAACGTTACGTTCAGTGTGATCAACGTTACGTTTACAGCTTGATCAACGTTACAAAGTGTTGCTGTATATAGTTCCCACACACACGGTGATCCTTCATTAATATTTAAACTGGTACACTGACACTCTGCTTAACCAAGATTGAAAAATACAACACCTAAAACTTATGGAAAATACAACTATACACACGAAATCAAATACATATTAATGTTCATGTGTTTATATATATATATATATATATATATATATATATATATATATATAATTATCAAGGGAGTATTTCAATGTTTACCTTACCGTCTCTGAAGAATGGTTGTTGTATAATGACACTTGATGTAAGGTTAGGTTATCCTTGTATTATTGTTAAGTCACACACACTTCTCTCCCACAACCACTTTCTTATTCCTTTACCACAAACAATTCTTATTACGTTACCATACTTAACTTCATATCACGTTCGCTTATTGAGAAATCACGTTATTTAGCTTATTTTTACAGATATTTACCAAGGCGACATTGCGTACCACTTAACACACTATGTGTATGTTCACGGTAGTAACTTCAGTAATAATACGTAGGGAAAATGTGTGTGTGTGTGTGGATGTAGCAGTGGGTACAGGAGCTAGCAAGCAGCACACACTCTCCCCTCCACACCTCCACTGCAACTGGCGGACACTGCTGGCTGGATCAGTGGCGGTCACTCACAGTTCCTCCCTCCCATTCTTCTCTCCCTCCCTCTCATCCCTCCCTCCCATTGCCATCCCTCCGCATAACCCTCTGTGCCTCCCTCTCCACTCCCTCACTCCTCTACTCCAATCCCTCCCTGTCACTGTTTCTTAGTCACTGTTTCTTACTCACTGTTCCTCAGTCACTGTTGAGCTGGTGTCCTTGCAGAAACTGTCATGAACAATGCTGTGATTCACCATCTTCAGTCTTGACGTGTTTCTAGAGTTTTCCTACTCTGAGCCTGGCCCAGGGCCAGGCTCAGGCTTGCCTAGCCCTGGATTAGGCTTGCCTAGCCCTGGACCAGGCTTGCCTAGCCCTGGATCAGGCTTGTCTAGCCCTGCACCTGGCTTGTCTAGCCCTGGACCAGGCTTGTCTAGCCCTGGACCAGGCTTTGCCTAGCCCTGGGCCCGGGTTGCCCAGCCCTGGACCAGGGTTGTCTAGCCCTGCACCTGGCTTTTTAGCCCTGGCCCCGGCTTGTCTAGCCCCGGACCAGGCTTGTCTAGCCCTGGACCAGGCTTGCCTAGCCCTGGGCCAGGCTTGCCTAGCCCTGGGCCAGGCTTGCCTAGCCCTGGGCCAGGCTTGCCTGGTGCTTGCTTAGTCAAGTATAGAAGTCTTTAGGTGGGGAAAAAAAGACAAGCATCTTCACCAGGGGCCGGATCAAGTAGGCTGTGATGATATGTGGGTCAATGGGTACATTAGCCATCTTCCCACATATCAGTCACTACACTGTTTGAAGAGATAAATTAAAAATATTAGTTAATGGTTCACAGACTTCCATTTTGCATTCCTTTAGAACCCTTGAAAAAACCTCATCAGGACCCGGTGACTTATTTTGCTTCAGTCGGTCTATCTGCTTCACAACCATTTCACTAGTGACTGTGATGTTACATAATTTATCTTCTTCTGGCCCACTATAAAAATTACCGGAATATTATTAGTGTCTTCCTGTGTAAAAACCGAGAGAAAATAATTATTTAAAATCGAGCACATTTCATTATCTTTGTCAGTAAGATGCCCATAGTTATTTTTAGGGGACCTATCTTATCTCTGACTTTTGTTCTATATACCTGGAAAAAACTTTTTGGGTTAGTTTTAGAATCCCTAGCAACTTTAATTTCATAGTCCCTTTTAGCTTTTCTTATCCCCTTTTTAATGTCCCTCTTAATGTCAATATACTGATTCATAAGATGACCCTCGCCTCTTTTGATACGCCTATAAATTCCTTTCTTATGCCCTAGTAGATATTTCAGCCTATTATTCATCCATTTTGGGTCATTTCTATTTGATCTAATTTCTTTATAAGGGATAAACGTTCTTTGAGAAGCATGTATTGTGTTCAGAAAACTGTCATATTGATAGCTCTCTTCGTTACCCCAGTCAACAGATGATAAGTGTTCTCTAAGCCCATCGTAATCTGCTAAGCGAAAATCTGGGACTGTTACTGAGTTATCCCTACTATCATACTTCCATTCAATTCTAAATGTAATTGATTTGTGGTCGCTAGCACCAGTTCCTCTGAAACTTCTAAATTATTAACAAGGGATTCATTGTTTGCCAGAACTTAGTCAAGCAGGTTATTACCCCTTGTAGGTTCTGTCACAAACTGCTTCAAAAAACAATCCTGAACTACTTCTAAGAAGTCATATGATTCTAAATTCCCAGTCAAGAAATTCCAATCAATATGACTAAAGTTAAAGTCTCCTAGAACTACTACATTATCGTGCCTTGTGGCCCTAACAATTTCCTCCCATAGTAGTCTCCCCTGGTCCCTATCTAAATTTGGGGGACGGTATATCACACCTAAAATTAATTTTTCATGCCCCTCTGAAAATTCTATCCAAACAGACTCTGTGTTACTTCAGACTTAATACCCGTTTTTATGCAACAGTTCAAGTGATCTCGGACATACAATGCCACCCCACCCCCCTTCCCGATACTTCTATCTACTTGGAGCAATTTAAAACCCTGAATGTCACATTCTGCAGGCATGTCCCGACTTTTTGAATTAAACCACGTCTCAGTAATGGCAAATACATCTGTTACCTGCACTAGCAACTAGTCTCAACTCGTCCATCTTATTCCTAGCACTGCGACTATTTGTGTAATAAATATTTTAAGACCCTCCTCTCTCTTTACCCTTCCTGCTCCTTTCTGTTATTCCACTAAACCTATTACTGTCCTTGTCAATTAGTGCCACTGGCTTTCCAATATCCACCTCATTTTGCCTATTACTAGTTCTCCTAGTACTCATATTACTACCCTGCGACTTCACAGTTTTCCCACAAAAACCCATACCACTAACTATTCCTAGTTTAAAGACCTAACAGCTCCCTCCACTGCATTGGCCAGTGCTCCCACCCCACACCTAGATAAGTGAACCCCATAGAAGAGGTCCCAGTTGTCAATGAATGTTACCGCATTTTCCTTACAGTATTTGTCCAGCCAGCAATTGACACCAATTGCTCTGGACAACCATTCATTCCCAACTCCTCTCCTTGGCAAAATGCCACATATGACAGGTTTCCCACCCTTCCTCCTAATTATCTCTATTGCTGACCTATACCTGCTAATCAGGTCCTCATATCTGGTCCTTATATCCGGCAATTTTTTTGGTGCCGTCTACCGAGGTGATTTTCATGGTTATCTTGGCAGCAGCTGCACACGACGACACACAGCTGTGGCGAGTGTTGTTGTTCAAGAGCTAATAATAATCCTCTTTAAGTCACTTCCTCCAAGCTCCGTTTACACTTCTCCAGGGTAGAGTATTGCTTTTTGCTAAAAACTCCAATGGAAATAAGTCACCGTCTGATTTTTTTGGGTTATCCTAGGTAATCTACACATATGCTGTTATGTATGATAATCCATGTAACTGCATTTATGTATACCTGTACCTGAAGAAAAACTTACTAAACCCCCTCCTTCAAGACAAGCGATGCTGCTGAGGTTGATAACGTAGAGAACTGTCACTGTCAGTGTACGCTCAAGCATCTGAACTACTGGGAATGCCTGAAGTCCCTTCAACCGTATTCTTTAGAACTGAGGTGAGAAAGGTACATCATAATTTACACCTGGAAAATTCTGGAGGGACTACTCCTAAACCTGAACACTGAAATCACTCTGTATGACAGCTAAAAGAGAAGTCGATGAGTGTCAGAAGCCCGTAACTCTTCAACGCCCTTCCTCCGTGCATAAGGGGAATTACCAACAAACCTCTGATTGTGTTCAAGCAGCAACTGGACAAGTTCCTCGAATCAGTGGCTGACCAGCCGGTCTGTGGTCCCTACGTCGGACTGCGTGCGGTCAACAGTAACAGTATGGGTGATCAGGCCTTGATCCTCCAGAATGCCTGGTCTGGGACTGAGCTGCGAGGCGTTAGTCCCCGCAAACGTCATGTAGGTACCCTTCAGGTATCAGCTTGGCTGATACCTGAAGGATACCTACATGACGCAATCCAATGTATGCACCACAGCCCAGCTAATCAGGAACCGGTTTCCTCTTGAAAACAGCTAGGAGTCTGTTAGTAATCTCTCTTAAGTTTGAAGGGAGTGTTTTGAAAAGTCTTGGTCCTTTTATATTTAATGAGTTATCTCTCAGTGCATTTATGGCACCCCATCTTTTTATCGGGGTATTTTGTACCGTCTGCCAAATCTCGTTGTCGTAGGAAGTGATTTCCTTGAACAGATTTGAGACCAGTCGCCTCAGATCATTTTCTAGTTACAGATTACGAAGTATTTTACCTACGTTCTAAGAGATTTCAAGTGTTAGCAATAATTAAAGTGCTTGTTTGAAGACGTGGGCGGTGAATGTTCTCTGTACATTTTCCAGATCTACAGTTTCACCAGTCTTAACACTGGCTGTAAGATCACAACAATATTCCAATCTGAGAGAGAAAATGCGACTTAAACAGAATCACCATCTGTGTCGCATCTCGTTTTGAATGTTCTGCTTATCCAACTAATTATTTACATTTGAGACTGGGATGGTTACAATGTTGTGATTCTTAAGTGACATTGTAAATCATGATCGCTCCCATCTCTGTCTAGTTTGTCTTTCGATCTACTGATTTTTTTAGTTTGTTTTATGAATGTATTAGAAAGAGTAACTGCCATGACAGCTTGCTGGAGCGAGACACATAGGAGGAAGTTGAGAATAAACCCAAAAAGAAGCAGGAGTAGAAGAGAAAACTGGACAAGTGTCTTCTGCAAGTGCTGGATCAGCTAGGTTGTGTACTCGTGCAAGACGTTAGCACCAAAGCTTCACTGATCAGCCAGTCAATAACGTCTAGCCTCAGGCCGGCCCGAGAGGGTAAAAGTACCCTAGGAACCTGTCACAGGAGGGAGGAATATATGGGGATGGGGGTGTAGGAAGGAAGACGGGATGGCAGGAGGGACAGAGGGAGGGGAGAGAGGTTAGTGAGGAAAAGAGGAGAGGGGATGGGAAGGAAGGGGAATGAAGGAGGGAAGGAGTGATGGAAGGGAAGTGTGCGGCGGTTAAGACACTTCGGTGCTGGTTGGTTCGTCCACGGAAGTAACAGCTCCCTCAGTGAAACGCGCGTGACTGAAAAAAAAATGCAACGTGTTTTTTCTGAGTTTCATGGATTTAGGCTTGTCATCCATCAATGTGGGGGGGAGGCAACCCCTCCCTCATCCGTCAAAGTGTTGGAGGAGAGAGTGAGAGTGAGAGAGAGGAGAGAGAGAGAGAGAGAGAGAGAGAGTAACAACAATGGTACCAGATACAACACAGCTTAAGAATTGATATACAAGCACACGACAAAGTTTAAATATTAAATACAAACAGAGAACAAAGATGAAAAAGTCGCAGTATTTATTTAATAACTCACTGTTTAATAATATTTGGGAGAGGGAAGAGTTTGATAAGATTATTGAAGACATGCATGATACAGTAAACTATTACTGTTGTACACAACGGTATCTTGGTACAGAGGACATCTTCCACATGT